ATTAATCATGAATAATATACACAAAAACACGAGATGTTGTTCATTTACTATCATTGATGTCTGATAATCTTGTAAGAGAGAGGAGATTGCATCTCCCAATATAGAACGTATAAAGATATTCTTGTTCGCTAATTTTTACACTTAAAAAGTTTTGATAATTTCGATGATCGCTTCTTATTTTTGATATAATATCTCCCATATATGATCATATAGAGAGTTTAAGACTCTATATGTAACACTTCACCCTTTCAGACAGTACATACTAACAACATCTCTCCAATATTTTACGGACCATATAATAAAATCTCCTTTGCTATTTTACATTTTCTAGAGACGTAGAGACTAATATTCTAAGCACTGAAAAACATAAATTAAATTCTAGTCTCTATAGCGATTCATACTGTTTTCATAATCAGAACAACTACACTCACTGCTCCGTCATTACGTCCATGTTTGTCGAGAGAGAGCATGAGTCGATTATGAGTTTTGAAAACAATGTTAGATGTATAGCCTAGAGAGAAATATAACGTGTACGAGTTATACGTTTATGCGAAAATAGTACTATAAAGTATACGTCCATTTAATGTTGACGATTACTATGGCTTATCTACATTAAGATGCTATCATTTTATTGTTCAATAATCCAAATTCCAAAATCTCTCAGAAAAGCGACTGGAGAATAATCTCAAAAACTCACATAAGATATAAGTATCGCGTAAGAGTATATAAGTAGTACATTTGAAGAAGACGCAATGCTTATTAATCTCAGAAAGATTGAATCCAGAGCTAAGTAAAAGTGGTGAGTACCTTTTGTGTCTGGAAGTGATAATTTGCCATCTTAATTATGAGCGCTTCAAGTTAAATAAAAATAAATATAAATAAACAATTCACATATACTCTACATTGTAGAAGTTTGAATGTTTCACCCAAGGATTATAGTGTGATTGGTTTCATGTGCAAATCCTCGTTCCAAAAATTAATTGATGTGTTAATTCTAATTTTGCTCCGCGTAAATCCAATCCATGATTAGGGACGTAGCCACTCATATGAAAACGGTTGCACACTCCTTCTTCTACCTCACAATTCTTTGCCTCTCCACACATTAGGGACTTTGCCTCTCCACATCATTTAGGTGGAATTGTGAAGGACAACGATCTAAGAATAATCATCTATTATATATTTTTAATATTATCTAATAAAAAAAGAATAAATTAAATGAGTATTATGAAAATAAAAATTAAAATTCTATAACACATTAATTACAGTAATAACAAATCTCGTTAATATTATAAACCAAACAAATATGTCGACAAATCTATACCAATTCCTTTTAATCAGATTATTTATAAAAAAAATAATTTTATTATATTTATTTTAAAAAAATAAGTGACAAATATGATTTTAAAAATAAAATTGTCCATTTTAAAAATAAAATTATATTCATCTAAATAATAAATAACTTACACAAATTTTTTAAAAAATAAACTGTCTATTTTTCTAAAACATTAATTATCGTATTCATTTAAATTTTTAACAAATAATTTACACAAATTTTTTTTTTTAAAATAAACAAAAAATCAATGACTTAGGCTTCGTTTGAGAACCTTCCCTTTTAGCTAAAAAGTCAAAAAGTTACTAAAAAAGCCAAAAAGCCAAAAAGCTAACAACTCATATCAAAAAGTTAAAGATTCTCTTTTCTCTCAACTTTTTGCACATCTTTTCGTAAAAAGCTAAAAAGTCATCCAAAACATACTAGTTTTTTTTTAACTCATATTTTAGCCAAATAGCTAAAAAAGTTACTAAATTAGTTTGTTCCCAAATGAGGCCTTAGTAAATTTCGTGGTGAATTCCACAAACTGGACCGAACTGAACCATCGCTTTTAATTATTTGAAAAATGCCAAAAAACATCCCTTAAGAGATATTATGGGTGTTTGGGAAGTGGCTATTTTAGAGATTTTTTGACTTTTTGACTATTTTAGTAGGTTATTTTAATTTTTGTGTTTGGAAAGATATGATGGACTTTTATTGTGTTTGAGAAGATATGATAGATTTTTATTTGAGTTGTTGTAATGAAAAATGTGTTTGAAATGATATTTGAAATTGAAATGACAAATTTACCCCTAAGCTCACTTTTTCCAAATTTGGTCTATAAGGGCAAAATTGTCATTTTTGCCTATGGGAGTAGGCTGACAAAACACCGTGCCTACACTGTCATTGATAGTGTAGGCTGCCGGCTACTTTTTTTTTTTAAATCAATGGTGTCTAATTACTGTTGAGGCTTTTTACTTTTTTCACACTTTGAGGCTAAAATAGCCTATAGCCCCACTTCCCAAACACCGCCATTATAATTGTTGAAAAATGTGTACAAATTTATTAAAATATTCAAAAATTGTATAAAAACATATGAAAGTATTTTGAAATATATGAAAAGTATATTGAAATTATAAAATTTTAAATGAATTACACTAACCTCCCTTGCATTTTGGAGAAAATATAACAAGTTTCATAATTTTGGCATAATTACACTAATTCTATTTTAGTAAGTCTAAAGAGATTGAACTAACGCAAATGATGTAAAGACACAAAGATAAACAATATACATTTCAATATAAATGAGATAATAACATCTCATTTACTTGTTCATTCTCCCTTTATGTAAGGGTCTTAATGTTTGGATTTTTGTACTTGTTTATTCTTCCTATTTCTAGTTTAAATATGGATTTTGAATAGATTTGGAGTGCCTGCTATGCACCCAGCACAACAGATACTACTGTGCTGCCCTATGGGTTTATTTCGGAATTTGTTTTGATAATCTGAATCGTTCACATTTTAGAGTATATCGAGTAGAACATACATGTAAAAAATTAAATTAATCGAATATCGTTAACCTTTTCTTCCACTCACATTTGTATCTTCAACAACAAATGACATTATGATTTAAAATATTAAAATGAATACAAATGTAAAGAAATGAAAAGATTAACGATATCCGATTAACTTAATTTTTTATAAATATATTTTATTTAATATATTCTAAAATATAAATAATTTAAATTATCAAAACAAATTACGAAATAAGTCCATAGAATCGACAGCAGTATCTGCTGTGCTGAGTGGCCAGCAGGCACCTTAGCCCCATTTTGAACAGGATGTATGTCCCATCATCTTATTTATTTTTATTGGTTTACGTTAATTTGTAGCAGTTATGTTCTAGGTGGGTCTGGCGTATAGATGTGATAGGCCCCGGGATATGCCCTTGGAATCTTGTAAATTCTGTCATTTTATTTTATGACTTATTAACAAAAAAAAAAAAAATGAAAAAAAATAATCATTTTGTTTAGTTCCCATTTTTAAAAAATTCTATACTCTTATTTTTTGTATTTTTTTGTTTTTACTGAATTTTTTTAATATTTTATGCAAATTTTTTATTTTTTAAACATACCTAACATAAATACACTTAAAAAGTAAAAAAATTGTAAAAAAAATCTTTTAAAAATTCACTAAATATCAAAAATATAAAAAAAATATAAGAATTTAGTACATTTTTTATATTTTTATGTATTTCTTAATTTTTTAAAATATTTTTTCACGAAAATAAAAAAACTTAATTCAGAAAACTCAAATCAAACACAGTGAATAATATCATTTTTTGATGCAAATGATCAATGAATTGTTGATGAAAATATGAGACTAAGTACTGTGTGAATTAAAATTAAAGAGTTTAATATAATTATTTCAGACTTGTGAGATTTATTATATATTTTTTTTATAAATCTCAGAGGAAGCTATTATAATTTATTCTAAATATTTATATTTTTTAATTGATGGTATAAAATTGTCAAGAGGCTTTTTATTTTTAGTGAAAGAGAATATATGAAAAAAAAGAAGAAAAAAAGAATGATACTAAAGACAATATAGACAAAATAGGTTAAAAAATTAATAAGATAAAATATTACATTTAAACTATAATTATTTATTTTTTGTCTGTCAAAAAAGTCAAAGTGTTCGTCCCAAAAGAGGTTTTTTAGTCTAGACTACAGCCTCATTTGAGAATAGACTATTTTAGTAATTTTTGATTTTTTAATTAAAATATAAGATAAAAAATTTAGTATATTTAAGATAATTTTTTGATTTTTTTATCAAAAATTATGCACAAAGTAAAAAGAAAAAAAATCTTTAACATTTTAAAAAAATATATTTTGTTAGATTTTTAGCTTTTAAAATAATTTTTTAATTTTTAAATTAAAATGTGATATTATCAAATGAGACTTAAAATATCAAAAAAAGAAAAAAAAAATTAACTAAAAACCCCAAAAACTCAATCCACTCCAAAAACCTAGTAGTGATATCTAATGACAAAAGAGAACACGTGGACAGGGAGAGGGACAACAAAGAAAGTCCACAAAAAATTTTAAAATATTTTTTTAATTTTTAAATTAAAATGTGATATTGTCAAATGAGACTTAAAATAACAAAAAAAAAGAAAAAAAAAATTAACTAAAAACCCCAAAAACTCAATCCACTCCAAAAACCTAGTAGTGATATCTAACGACAAAAGAGAACACGTGGAGAGGGAGAGGGACAACAAAGAAAGTCCACAAAAAAAATGACGACATAATTAGAACAAAGTGGCGACACATTACTCCACTTTTTCCAACTCTATCAGATTTGGATCCCACCATCACTCCCAAACTTTCCGCACCATGTTCTCATATGCTTGCCACGCCCACGCCATTCTACTCTCTCCATAATGAGGCTTTGTTTGGTAAGTGATAATTTTAATTAAAAATTAAAAATTTATTAAAAGAATTAAAATATTAATAATTTATATTAAAAAATCAAAAAAAAAACTTATTTCTACGTTTTACTCATTTTTTTATATAAAAGTTTAAAAAATTATTCTAAATATATTAACTTTTTATATCATATTTTAACTAAAAAATAAAAAAATTATTAAAAAAACATATTTTCAAACCTTGCTCTTATAAAATGCTAACCAAAACCACCACAAAACCATCTCCTCTCTCTCTTGAAACTCACACTAGTCTCCAACTTCTCTCTGTCTAATAAAAAAATGGGTTCACTCTCTGTCCCAGAAGACGAGCCTCTGCAGTACCCTTTGGCTCGCAGAGACGAGTCCGTTGTCGACGATTATCATGGCGTTCGCATCTCCGATCCATATCGATGGTATTGAAATATCAAAATCAAATCAAATAAAATCAAATCAAATTTAATCTCATTGTATTTGTTATTTGTATTCACTATTATTGCACTTGGGGAACTAAAAGGTTCAACCAAGATTCAACTTTGACCTTTTGTGGGCTAGGCTCCAAGATTTGATTGTATATATATTGTAATCAGCGGTCTGCATAACTCGAAACAAAATAATAATATCAAAATAATGACAAAAAAAATGTATAATAATTTCAATTCAAATCTCATCCTTCTCTTAATATAAATTTTACATAAGCATTAGTAATTATAAAAATATTTTAAAAAATTCAAAATATGAGACATATTTATCCAAATACCATGGAAAGGCTTTACATATTATTGTAGTATAGATTTTCAAATCGAATTTTAGAGTGTTAAAAAAAAAAATTTTGAATTTTGATGTTTTCTATATCGTGTACTATTTTATTTAAAAAAAGTTATGTACGTGTTTGTTTTTTGTATTTAATTTTAATTTTTTCTTTTTGTATGTTTTTTTTATTATTAATTGTTTTATTTTATGACAAAATATGCAAAGGGTTTAAAAAAAAAAAAAAAAAAAGAAAAAAAAAAAAAAAAAAAAAAAGAGAGATTTTTTACTATATTTATGTTTTTTTTTTGGACTTTGTAGTGATTTTTGGAATTCATAGCTATGATTCACTTGTGTTTTTATTGATTGTTTTATTTTACGATTGAAATTAGGAGAGATTACACACAAGTATAATATTTGTTTAATAATTACTATTTGATGATAAAATTTATAATTTTTTTTTTCATTACTCTGAAATTAGTTTGACAGAATTTGTTATTTCCCCCTTGAAATTACCATTTTGCACGACAGTACTAGACCCGTTTGGTTATCGAGAAAATTAAGGCATTGCTTGAATTTTGATTTTACCTGGGAAAATTTTGCTGGAAACGTTTTCTGTTGAAACAAACAGGAGTGCTATGTTTGATGGTGTATTGAAAATTTTCGATTGGAATTGTTTTTGGGTAGGCTTGAGGATCCCGATGCTGAGGAGGTAAAAGATTTTGTAGAAAAGCAGGTGAAATTGACAGAATCAGTGCTAGAAAAGTGTGATACGAGGGAAAAGCTTCGAGAGAAGATTACGAAGCTCTTCGATCACCCGCGCTATCGTGCGCCGTTCAGGAGAGGGAACAAGTTATTTTACTTCCATAACTCTGGTCTTCAACCCCAAAATGTCCTCTTCATGCAGGTTGTACATTCATCCTACACTCTGTATATCATCATATGACATTTTAAAAAATAATTACAAAGTTATGAAAAGTTTATAATTTGTAATTATTTTTTAAAATGTCTTTAATTTGATATTTCTCCAATAATTTTTATTTTTATTTATTTTATTTTATAAATGTATAATTAATTTTTGAAATATCCACACAAACTGATTTGATATTTTTCTTATACAATACATATGCGTCAGTAGTTGAATGAAAGATTCTAAAGTTTGGACTTTGGCTTTTTGGGTCTTACCTTTATGGAAAATATCTACTATCCTCGTATATTTGATGAGTATTTATTTGTGCAATTCATGTATTTCTACAAATTTATTGTTTTGAAAAGGTGGTTAAAATCTAAATTTTTCACTTTTTTTGGCCTTTTGTTTTTTTAAAAATTGGTTACAAGTTAGTTTTTTGATTTTTTTTAAAAAAAATCGTGTAAAGAAATAGAGAGGTGGTCTACAAAAACCAAAAAGCTGACTTTATTTTTGGGTTTTATTTTATTTTATTTTGGGTAAGTATTACGTTAAAGAAAATTTAAATTATTTAATATTTGCATTTTTTAAAATTTTTGAATTTTCTTTTTTTATTTTGGAGTTAAAATAAGCATCAACCCCTCAGTGGGTTTCACATTTTGGTTGTACTCTTGTGGCTCTACCTTTCTAGCTTATCCCAAGCACATATTTCTACGTTTTTTGTTGAATCAATAAATTAATATTTCTAGTTATATAATAAAATTCAATTCGACATGTTTGAATTACTCTTGTTGATGTTATTGAGAATATATGAAATTATTACAATATATTATGAAAAAAGTTTATTTTAATTGTGTTTCCAGAATTGAAAAATTGACATCGATGCTTTCATTTAGGAAGTGACTTTATAATGTAAAATTTTATTTTCATTCTGTTTGCAGAATTCAGAATTTGACATTGATGCTTTCATTTAGTAAGTGACTTTTTTATTGGTTTTTTTTTTTACTTTTGGTTAAAATATGAAGTGAATATTTTTTTTAAGTGGTAGGGAATGATTTTTTGAAATTTTACGGAAAGCCATGCAAAAAGTTAAAAAAAAAAGAAAAAAAGAGAAGGAATTTTGACCATTTTTTATGGTCTTTTGGCTTTTTTTATTTTTTTGATTTTGTAGTGATTTTTGGACTTCATATTCACTTGGGTTTTTTAGCTAATCCCAGTGAGTGAAATTTCTAGCTATGCCGCTTGTGTTATTGTTTATGGTTTATTAAAGTTTTTCCATGATAGGCAAATTCGATAAAACTTAAAAGTTGTAAATTAGAAAATTGAATTTTAAAGGATGTCTTAATACATCACCAGAAGCATAATAGTATATAGTTATTGATGGTCAGAAACATATTGAGCAGAGTTTGATATTCTTTTGTTTTCTTCTTTTGGTGATGGGACTAGTGAAAAATGGAAATTAAAAATTCTGTCATGTTACACTCTAGTTACAACTTTCTAATTTAAATCAGAATATTTGATGGCAGAAGTTACAAGCTATAAGAGCATCTCCAATAGGAGCCTGTCATCATTTTTTATTCTCTCCAACAGACTAGCGAAGACTTTACTAGACTATTTACATTTGGAGTCTTTGGAGGCTCTTTAAACTAATTTGTGTGAATAAATATGTGAAATAAAGAGTATGTTAGAGCACATAGATAAAAAGTTAGGTAAAATAAAGATTATTTAGCTAGTGAAAAATGAAGAATAGCATTTGAGTTGCTCTAACATGCGAAGTTTTTTTCGATCTTGGATAAGAAAGTGCCATATCTTTTATTACTTTAACCTTATCTTTGCTCTTCATTTGTTTTTGTTTTTGTTTTTGTTTTTTTGTTTTGTTTTGTTTTGTTTTGTTTTTTTGTTGTTTTGAATTCTGAAGTATTCATTATTTTGACAACTACGTGGACAATATTGTGAGATTTTATTTCATAAGAGGCCAAAATTTTGGTTTACAGATTCATTGGTTCCTGTTTCTTTTCTTTGCTTTATTGAATTGTGTTTCAGGATAGTTTGGATGGAGAACCAGAGGTTTTGCTCGATCCGAATGGACTTAGTAAGGACGGAACAGTTGCAATGAGTATTTGTGCTGTTAGCGAAGATGCCAAGTACTTGGCATATGGACTTAGCTCAAGTGGAAGTGATTGGGTCACTATCAAAGTTATGCAGGTTGAAAAGAAGACAATCGAGCCTGATATTGTGTCATGGGTGAGTACTAAGACATTCATTAACATTTCAATATGAATTGAAAAAGACCATTCATAGCAAATATATTGCGTAATTTAAAAATAAAATAAAATAAAATAAAAATTCTTCTGTCTATATATATGCATACCTTATTTAGTAAAAGGTGTGTTTTTATGTTTGTTCACTTTGTTGCAGGTTAAGTTTTCAAGTCTTAGTTGGACCCATGATAGCAAAGGTTTTTTCTATAGCCGCTACCCAGCTCCCAAGTAAGTAAAACAGCAGCCATGGCTTGTAATATTCAGTTGGACATTGCATAGTTTTAATTCTGTAACTAATATGTGAAGAAGTTTGAGTAGATAAGTCTGATGTCTTGCCCTTTCTCTTTTTTTTTTCTTTTTTCTTTTTTTATTTCCTTTTTGGTGATATTTTAAAATATTACCAATGATATTCAGAGTACTTCTTTGAATTGGTTTTCCAAATTATCACATGTAGTTGCAGCAATTCTGGGCCATAGAGAAAAAGAGTTTAAGAGGAAGGAAAAAGGAATAACATTGTCGAAATTGGCTTAACAAATATTAACGATGAGGAGTATATCCGGAAAATTCCGCCTTTGAAAAAGATTTCACAAAAATAAAAAATATTGGGGCAATTGTGAATCTGTATCATGGTAATGATGATAAGTTTTTTTTTTGTTTTTGTTGTAGGGAGAGTGAAAATTTGGATGCTGGGCCTGAGACCAATGCTAAACTTGAATCATGAGGTGTACTATCATTTCTTGGGTACTAACAATCTAAAGATATTTTATGTTGGAGAGATCCCGACAACCCAAAGCACACATTGGCACTTGTGTAACTGATGATGGAAAGGTAACAAGCCTTCTACCTGTACTATTTTGTGGTTTGTGCAGTTAAGTAGGAAGCACTTCAAAACTTCTACTTTTCATTTTTGGTGCTCATTTGTCTTACTTTTGTCTTATTAGTGTAAAAACCAGGAGTGAGTCGTAGGCTCAGTGCATTCTTTTAGCCTTGTGCATATATGTCTGTCTGTTTAAAAATTCCACTTTACCCTCTAGAAAATCATTGGTAAGTGATTAACCCTGTTTGTTGGACGGTTTTTGAAATTGTTTAACTAATTATATTATCAAGGTTGATAACAAATGTGCAAACCTCCTTACTGAGGAGTCTATTCTCCTTTTTGTATTTGCTTCTTTGGAGCCAAGTTTTATGGTTGTTGTGCACAAAAATAAGGCTTTGATTCTTATTACGGGGGTGAGAACTGGCTAAATTACTCTTTGATTATTTTTACGATAATGAAATTAAATTCAAGGATATCCAGTTTTAGTTTGCCCTAAGTCTCTTGTGTATGTCTAGATTTTTGTATTTATGTCAGGTCAGATAAATTGTTCAAATGAAAATATGAGAATTTCTTGTTAGAGGTGTAATTTTGAAGCCTATTCTTTAACCCAAGCCAAATTAAATACAGTAGGGGTTTGAGGGTTCATAATGAAATTTATTTCCTTGGGCGATGATAAGCATAAGGAAATTTTATTGTGGGTTTCTCCTCACGTTACCTTTATCATATGAACAATGTGGGTGGAAGGAAGATTCCCTAGATTAGGGTCCTAGCACGTCTTATCGAGTTTCAAATGTAGTGCCCCTTCATCATTCACTTCAAATTGGAAAAAAAAATTGATCATTACAAAGAGGACAATCGCAAACGACTTATTTTCTGCTGTCTGTCTTCTTTAAAAGCGCTCTGATTTTCTCTCAGTGAGGGTCCAATGACAGGTGATTAAAGTACAAAGGAGCCAGTTACTCAAGATTTTTGGTTTATTTGTTAGGCTTTGGCTGTTAGCAATCTTCTTTGCTGTTTCCATAATTACATATTCTCAAGAAACTTAAGTTATACTAATTTTCTGTACAATGGTGATATTATTCTTGATGAGCAGATCATATGAATCTTGTTGGTTAATAGTGTTAATGTACACTGTAAACTTCACCTACTCTCCACCTACTCCTCACCTACTCCATCTACTACACACCTACTACACACTCACCTATTCTCTTCCCACATCCTCTCCTATATATAGGATCATTGTAAAACATATATAAACACAATCAATAATAAAATCAATAGATACATTATTTTCTCTGTATTTCTCTCTTTATACATTAATTCTAATATGGTATCAGAGCAAGGTTAACAACCTAGTCATTCTGCTTCACCGGCGGGCGGCAGCCTCGCCTTGGCCGCCCGCCGGACCTCTACACTACTTCACTCCGCTGCCACAAATTCCATAGCTGAACTCTTCTCTGCCTTACAATGGCTCAATCAACTTGCTGAGCTCTCTTCTCTGCCAATGAAGGAATCCACCTTCCCTGACAAGCAAACCCAATTCACTTCTCTCATGAAGCAGGGACACATTTGCTTGCTCCAACGGGGAGTGACCTTCAACTGGCTCAGAAGGGGCTACATCAGGGGCAGTAAGTGATCGGGTTCGGTTACACCAGTGCTTGCCTTCCACCCTTCGTTTTGATATACTCCCCATTCCATCTTTCATCTCCCTCGTTCGCGTACAATGCTTTTGAAGGACATCTCACAGATCGGTGAGAGAGAAGTAGAGAATGCCGACCATGTTCTCCTAGCAGCTTGAAGACCTTTGTATCCAGGATGTGAAGGGAAGAAGAGCTCCTCATTGAAAATGCCTGGTCCCATGACTTCGGTTCCCGAGAAAGGCGACCAGCCACATGATCAAGAAGCTCATAGAAGGTATTGTTGGCCTTAGTGTAAAAGAAACCAGAATTATACACCCATATCCGCTTTGTATGAGCATAGCGAGCCCAACCCATTGAGGTTCATCAAACACACATCAATTAAACCTAAAGCTGTCATGTATTGTGACCATCGGTCATGGACTCCACATCTGAGTCCCGATAAAGATGATAAAAAGGGTTTTGCAAATACACTATATCGACATCTGAGAGAAGAACACTGTAACCCAACTGCAAAAAACTCCTCAAGATGTGGAATTTTAATCCGGAAACAGCATGGTTTCCTCCGGTCTTGCAACTGAATCAATTCCTTCATCTGGGTCCCTCTCTTATACACAGGAACATCCTTTGATTGGCAAAGTTGGCGACTCTCTTATCCAAGGCAATGACCAAATAATGGGAATAACAGTCGGAAATGGGTTGTCGCACGAGCAGAGAGACAGAGGCACAGTTTCAATCAATCAAGCACCCAAGTGGTCTAACTTTTTATTTTTTATTATTATTATTAATTATATCAAATAATCAATACACTCATATTTTCCACTGGCAGTGGTCCACTTTTGAACCCATCCCCACATCTTTATTTATTTTTAATCAATTTTTCTGTGCCTTTCACCACCACTTTTGCCCAAAACATTTCAACCCATACATTTCTCCTTCACCTTTTGGACCCCACTCACCGACTCCCTCTTCCCAAAATAGAATATCTCTTCTTTTATTTATCTTATCTTTTTTGTGTCCTGTGTATTCTGTGTGTGTGTCCAGGCGTGTGTCTCCCCCCCCCCTCTCTCTCCCTCCTATCACGTTGATTTCAACATTCAATTATTTTTATTTGTTTCTCCAAACTACTTTTACACTCTTTTACATACCCACATTTTCTTTTCTTTCCCATCATTTCTTTTTAAAGTTTTCTTTCCACCACTCTTTTTTAATCTTTCTCTTTTAGCAACTGCATTACTGAATGATGGTTGATTTAAAAAAAAAAAAAAAAAAAAAAAACAAAAAAAAAAAAAAAAAAAAACAAAATATATATATATATATATATTCCATTCACAACCAACATCGGTTTTCATTCCACAAACTTGTCATTTCTTCATGCCGGGATCAACCCCGAATCCACATCTTTAACCAAGCAAAAAAAAAAAAAAAAAAAAAAAAAAAAAAAAAAAAAACCAACTGCAACAAAGACCACCATCCACATACAACAAAAGATTGTTTTCTTTTCTGCAGACGGCCACCCACTGACCTCACCTCTTCGCCTCTTCCGCCGGTCTTTTCTTCTTGCCTCCGTCCTGGCGGCCCTTAACGGTGCTGCCTCTGTGTTTCCCGCCCCGCCGAGCCCGTTCACTCCCCTTGCTCCTCCAACCGCAGCATATGGCGGACCCTCCAAATCGAAACATCACAGTGGCCTTCCGCTGTCAGCTCCTTGTTTTCCGCTCTTTAGCACACATATCTCTGCTCGAGCATCCTTATTACATGCGTTGGAGCAGAGCAGTTGGGCGTTTAACTGCTGCACCTCATTTGTCTACTCTGAAGCCGGTGCGACAAGTTTGTGACTGCAGTCATCGTCTCCACACATGACTTCAAGTATACTGATTGGCCTCAATATCTGATCGCGGCTGCATTATTTGCTCCACAGACCGCATAGGAAAGGTCAACGGAGCAAACCCAGGGGCGCTTGGTTGAGGTTTCAGGGCAACCGCACCAGTTATCTCTCTTGTGGACTCGTTGAGGTCTGGAAAGAGAGTGAGCATGCAGCACCAGACGGGAAGAAGAGGCCATGCTTTGGTTGCTGAGTGTTTCAGATGTTACAGAGTGTTTCAGGGTTTGCAGCTCTTAGAGAAAAGCTTTCAGGAACGAAGAGGTTTCAACTGGTTTGTTTATGCTTCCAAGCCTCAGGCTTCGCTTTGGTTTTATAAAGACACATGACGAAAAAGGACGACACGCGCTCGTCGATCACGTGCATCGTTGCGTGCTGGCGCGACTTTTGATGGCTCGCCGCCTCGATGATTTCCTGTCAGGCACGGCTTTTGATGCAGTGGGCGCGCCTTTTGAGGGCGCGACTTTTGAGGGCTCGATATATATATCCATATATATCTTTTGGGCAGCCTATATATACACCTCATCACACGTGTCTTCACCAACGGTCTGACACGACCATACATGTTTCCGATCCTATTTTATTTTATTTGTCAGTTTATTTTCACATTTTGTTACTCTCTTCAAACTCAAGTTGTGTAGTTCCTATCTTCCTTGAGTTGAGGGGGGGCTGTTAATGTTACACTGTAACACTTCACCTACTCTCCACCTACTCCTCACCTACTCCATCTACTACACCTACTACACACTCACCTATTCTCCCACATCCTCTCCTATATATAGGAATCATTGTAAAACATATATAAACACAAATCAATAATAACATCAATAGTACATTATTTTCTCTGTATTTCTTCTCTTTATACATTAATTCTAATAAATAGCTCATCAAATGGTTTGAGGGGGAGTATTCAATCACGAACCTGGTGGTGAGCTCTGTTTTTTTGGGAGTAATCAAGCACGAACCTAGAGAGCATTTTGTTTTTGCACAACTATGAAAGTTAACTGATCAAGCATGAAGTAGGCTCTGTAAACAATCTGTAAATACATTTTTCACAAAGAAGATGAGTCACTGGATGAGGGAGTGTTGTTGCCGCTTGAATTGCATGCAACGATGGTGGTGGGAGACCAACAAATTTTCACTGGCCTATTGGCAGGTGAGTAACTCTCTTCCATACTCATCTCTCCATACCCCTCCATACCTCTCTTATGCGCTTTCAATTCGGACACACACAAATGATCCGAACATCTATCACATAGACCTCACAGGTAAAGGTTATTCATGCAAAAAAATCAATTTCGTTGGACAATTATAAATACAAGACAAATTGCATTTTATTTTATAAATGATGATTCATGATTGTACTTAAACCATCAATTTTCTAAAATAAAATTTGATTTGTTTTTGTGCTTATAATTGCCTGATGAAGTTAATTTTTTGCATGGAGAGACCTTTATTGTGAGATCTATGAGATGTACGGTTGTGCGTGGATTTG